AGTCTGGGTGGGGGCATTTTGACCCCACTCCTTGGGTTAATTCCAACCACCTTTAGTTTCCTGGAGGAGCCCTGGTGGTGTAGTGATTATGCACTGGGCAGCTACCCTCCAGGTCAGCAGTTCGAAATCACCAGCAGCTCCTCTGGAGAAAGAGGAGGCCTTCTACTCCCATAAAGTTACAGCCTCGTACATCCACAGGGAAAGTTCTACCCTGCCTCATAGGGTCCCTCTGAGCCGGTATTGACTCAATGGTAGTGAGGTTAGTTTCCGTAACCACCAAAGGGGCAAGGTTGGGGGTAGATCAAAAGGTTTTAAGGAACAAGTGACATGATCCAGTCTGTTTTTCATGCACCAGCCGACCACACGTCTGATGTCTCTGGTGTGTGCTTCATATCCTCCCGCATCCTCCTTGCTGAAACCAGACTTTGTCCAGGTAGCCAATGGGCAGTCCCATGTCCAGGGGAGGGAGAACCCCTTTATCCAGTACCCACTTTCCCAGATTCCCTTGCAGCAAGAAGTGGCTGTGTGGTATCTATGGCCCAGGAGACTGAGGGGCAGTTTGTGCAGTCTTCTGGGAAAAGGTTGCCTTCTGTTAAGAGGAGAGAGAGGGGCTGGCTGGTGTTCATCTTCCTGCTTCCTGAGCCAGTGTGCTGCATGATGATGCCATCTCAGGGCCCAGAAGCAATAAGCCCGAAGGAGGCAGAGCAGAAAGATGCAAGGGCTCCGGCTCTTGACGCGGTGACCTCAAACCCAGAGGCACCTTCTCGCAAGATTTCACATCCTGAGGTTGGAGAGCTGGACCGGTGCATCTATGATCAAGGCCTTCAGCAGCTGGCACTACGGTAGGTGCTCAGGAACCACTTCATGAAGACATTTGGAAGGAGTAAGTTAATGTCTTTCTGGCTTAGACCAGTGAGGAGTCTTCCATTGCCTGTAGGCTTGTAGTCGGGACATGGTAACTTCTCTCTCCTGCCCCACTGTGAACCTCCTAACGGGAAAGGGACTAGGTATTACTGAATAGTGTCCACAGATCCTGGTACAAGGCATCTCCAATCACTGCCATCGGGTTGATGCTGATTCATAGAGACCCTACAGAACAGGGAGAACTGCCCCCTTTGAGTTTCGGGGACTGTAACTCTTCACAAGAGCGGAATGCCCTGTCTTTCTCTCTGAGAACAGCTGGTTTTGAACTGCTGACCTTGGATCACAGCCCAACTGGTAACCACAAGCCACCAGGGCTCCTATGGTATAAGGGATACCCTATAGGAATTAGCAGCTATTTCTCAAAGAATCCCCATACCTGGTTTCTGGGTTTGTCAAGAGTGGAAGTTTCCCTCACGCAGGCTGGGGGTAAGTGGTGCCTGGGGCCCTGGTGACCAGAGCTGAAGAAGGCCCACTCAATCTCTCACGCCAAGTGATGCCCAGGAGGGGGTTACATCAACTGCGGGCAGATCAGGAGGCTGGGAGTGCGGCCACTAGATGCGGCTTGAAGTGGCTTGCTGAGACGAGTCGGATGTAGGCTTCACCCAAGTTCTGCATTCTCAAGCCACAATCCCCAAGTCCCACTGTAAGGGTCCAAGAAACACGAGGGCCCAAGCAGGTCTCCATAGACGGGGTCTCCAAAATGATGTAGTCCTGCCCAGTGCCGACATACAGGAACATGAGAAGGAAGGGCAGGCAACTTGCCCAGGGCAGCGAGTGAGCGAGTGTAGGTGTGGGGGTCTCTCTCAATGAGTGAGTGAGTGAGTACAGATGTGGGGGTCTCTCTCGAGTGGATGAGTGAGTGTAGGTGTGAGAGTCTCTTCCGAGTGAATGAGTGAGTGTAGGTGTGGAGGTCTCAGTAAGTGAGTGAGTGAGTGAGTGAGTGAATGAGTGTAGGCGTGGGGGTCTCTGAGTGAGTGAGTGAGTGAGTGAGTG